CTTGCCAACTCGTGTAATTGTTAACAAATGCATTGACTCTAGCATCACCCAGCCGCATTATTCTGCCTTCGAAGGTGCTTTGATTGGTCAAGCCTTCTATCAATGGACGATGCGGTACACACTGAAGTGCACCACGACCACGGCTGCGTCCACCGACCTACGGCCCTCCGCACTGATCTCTCCCCAGAGGCTCACCATCATTGGCACACTTAGCTTCGTACTGGGTGAGGCGATTGGTGCCACGCTGAACTTCCTGGGCGTCGACGTAGATCGGAGCCTCCGAATGGCCAGAACCCATTGCGACCGACGTGAATGGGTACACCCCTCCACTTCTGTTGAGGCCTCTTACGCTCGGGTCACTGGAGCACTTTTAGGTCAGTCAAAGTCCACCGATTGTCGCGGATGCTTAATTCATTGCACGTGATTGGGAAGGAAAGTCGCGATGGAAACTGACCCAGTGGGTACTACGTGCTACCCATTAACGAATGGAATGAATCTTCACAGATTCTCTTCCCTTTTCACCTTTTCAAGAGAGTTACGAAAATGTCCAGTGCATTTTAGATGATTTGCCAACAGGTTGGCGTAATTGCAATGTGAGATGGGTGTTGTGTTCTTGTTAGGAGAACGAAGATGTCGTTGGTTAAGGCTGCAACGTGCCTGGCGAAGTGTAAATGTCTTAACCTGCTACCTGAATTTCCATTATTTTTTGAAGCTAATGGATAATTGAAAAGTAACTGACGAGCTGTCCACCTAAACCAAAGCATTCGTGCCAATACGGCAATTGCACTTGGCATTTGAGACAACCAGATACGGATACAACAAAGACATTTCAGATAATCAGGTGCCCAGAGAATGCATAACCACCTCCGGTTGATTGTCACCTCAAGTGAAATCATCCACTCCGCACCACGAATATCGCACGCCGTTGTATTTCATTCCAAAGTGCTCCGCAACATTGCCGGATGATTAAAGCAAACGCTCGACAGTTAACCCGACTTTCCCATCAATTCAAGGAACGGTATGAAATACATTTGATGAATGTGTAACCATTCCTTCATCTCCCTTTGACTTCCCTTTTTAGGTCTGGCCGCAGCTTTGATCTTTCGACCGTTGACGGTTCGCAGTCTGAAGACTCCTCCCTTAACTGTCAAACGTGTCATATTTCCCTGCGTCATGTGTACCGTTGCCTGCTACTACTGCCAAAGACTCATCTCCCTCCTGGCTCCTTTCTTCAAGTGCCTCCTCGGGTACATACCCTTGGGGTCGCAGGCATCGTTCCTCTTCTACATGGGCGCAATTGGCGCCAGTTGTCCGCTAGTCGTGGCCCTAGTTTTCTCAAGCCTGCTCGATCAACTTGTCAGCTGCAAAGCTCAGCGATGCACCAGTACGAAGCGCAACGCCACTGTGGCTTCCTCTAGTCACGATTCTGAGGCTTCTACCAGAGGTGAACGCTCACGTTCGCGACCGCAACATTAAAAGGCGTTTTTTGTGTGTTTTTAAAATAATAACAATACCTCATGGTAGCCGCCTTCTCGCCTGGTAGTTCATTGCAAAAGCCCCATGGAAAGGTGAGAGAATGATTGGTTAGTTGATTGGCAACTGAGATAGAGAAGGGTTCTTTCCCAACCAACCAAGGAGGAGTACGAGATGACGTTAAAACTGTAACAAAAAATGTGACATTGAATGTGTAGAAAAGAGGAAAGGAAAATGAAGTTGCAATGTTCAGCGTCTGGTTTCATTCGTTTATGCTCGTCACTGCTCCAGCTGCTTTGCAAGATTTGCCAATTTGTTCAGGGTCTCACGGACAGATTCTGAAGTTCAAAAAGGGACTGTTTGCACATACGGCTTTGTAACACGTGCATGTGGTGGACTAGATAGGAAACTGAATGCAACTTTCACCTGGTCTTCAAGATAGCATAAGCATTTTTCGCCTACTTATGGGGTCCTTTTTCAAGTAACTAGTATGAAAGCCTTCCCATCTCGTGAACAGGAAAATTAA